TACTGTAGCAGTTGCAATATATAGCCGAAGGAAAGGGACTACAAGATGAAATCAAGACACTGTTAAAAAGGAGACTACTGTTCAGAAAGTGTACAGCACAAGAAGATCAACAAGGTTAACTGCAAAGAAATCTGCAGAGCCAAGTGCGATGGAGAGGGAAAKGAGTGAATATATGAAGATTGATTCGTTTTTGGATCGGAAGATGATTTGGGTCACCCCGTTCAAGAGAAAAGTGTGGGCTTAGGTATGCGTTTGACACTACTAACAGGTTTATATTTTTAACATATAAGCTGGCTGTTTTGCTGTGCACATTTTTTAATTTGTACCAGGGTAGATATATATTTGAGGAAGCTTATCTGGATGTGATTTAATTTTGGATTTAGGTTTTTGGTTTTATATAAGACTTTTGAGTTATAGCAATGATATTGGGATGTCAAAGGGCGTTTTAGCCATTATATGTTTTTTTTTGTATATCTCCTTTTCTTTGAGGCGGGTTAAGGGAAGGGGGAGATGATGATGGCATTTCCTTCCTTGTTTTGTTCTCTTCTTGTGATTTTGAATTGCAAGAGCTTTTTTTATGCCACCTTGTGTACTTTTTCAGTTTAATGTAATCTTTTTGTGCGTCTATCTAATTACATAATAGAAAAAATCATTGTAACTTACAATCACACTCTTGATGTTTTCATAGTTTCTTGCAACATCTATTTATTTATGGAAGTGTTACTCTCTTTGGTAGGAAGATAAAAGTTACCTACCAAATGGCATTTGGCCTAGCGGTATCGTAGCCCTTGACTTTCTAGGAGGTCAGGGGTTCAAACCTCACCATAGGTGAGGAGGGTGTGTGAGTTTATTTGTTGCATTTGCCGTATATAAATATTATATATTTAAAAAATAATAATAAAAGTTATCCGAGTGGTAACGGTCTTACCTGGTAACTAGATAAATCTTATCCGATAAGTTAATGAAAGCGTTGACTCTGACCGGTAACTGATTGCTGGGTAAAAGTTTGGTAAACGACTCCTTAAATTAGTTTTTTATTTAGTCTAACGAATAAACTTTTTTCTCAATTGATAAAAAAGAGTTTTAAGTTTTTTTTTTTATATTGTACTTATTTTGATCGGTTGTCATGTGAAAGAGGATAATTACTTGAAGAATTATGGTGATGGGATATAAAAAATGATATGTCATTCTAAAAATACTAATGCTAGAAAACCAACTATGGGCTAAAAGAACATTAAAATACTAGAAGTTTGTTTGGAATGCATGATAAAGATAGT